CCAGTTTGGTAGAAACTGGCCATACAGGGCAGGCGGCTACAATGCCAGGTCAAACACTGTAATGCCAAAACACTGAAAACTGTCTGAAATTCCATTATATTATAAAGAAAAGCTCCTAACTCTCCCCACATTATTGAATTTTATTTTTTTTTAGTTAATGGGTTCATATCAATAGCATTTGGTCCAAACTTCTGATATATTTGCATCACTGGATCCACGTCCATTTTCATGGCATTCTCCAGTGATAACTGGATAAATAGTTAATATCTGTATCATATTTGTACTTTGCATTAGACTTAATACAATACATTGCGAAAAAAAATTAAATCTCAATTAGTAATTTTTTTCTTAAAATAATGCATTTTTTCTTGAATTGAGGAAGTTAGTGAGTGACTAAATGGAACAAGACAATTTACTTTTAAAATAATGATAAAAAACCGCTTATTTCAAGTGCATTTTATCAAAGTAGTGAATAAAAACATATTCCATTGGCAAATAATTATATTTACCTGCTCAAATTAGGCTAAGTATGCTTAATTTAAGACATTTTTACTTATTTCTTGGTTGTTTTTACAGTGGAATAATTGTATTGAGTCTTGGATCTTCTTCTCTTATCACTTTACTTGGATTTATCACTTTACTTGGATTTATTACTTTACTTGGATTTATCACTTTATTTGGATTTATCACTTTACTTGGATTTTCACTTTATTTGGATTTAGTTTTTACATATGCATAGAAAAACGTATATATATATATATACACAGAAGAGCTATATGTGTATATATTTTATCTTTTTTTATTCTTATTTTCTATCTATATTATATTGTGTAGTTGGATGTGTGTATATATTATATAAAACTGTAACTGGAGCGTGTAACAAAAGTAATTTCCGTCTGGGATTATTAAAGTATTTCTGATTCTTATTTTAAGTTTAAAATAGCTAATAATTTGAGATGCTATTGCCGCTATACCACCACAGGAGGCGCTAATGAACACAAAATACAGTTCAAACCAAACTAAAGAATTGAAAAAGCTTCCTGGAGAGGTGGCGAAATGTCTTCAAATCTTGGAAACCAAGTCCAGTGGATATTTTTTGAATTTTTACAGAACAAACTAAAGAAACAAATAAAATCAGAAAACTTGCAGTCTTGCAATCCTATGAGAGGAATATCGGTACATGTAATGAAACTGTCCAGTCTACCCGTATTGGTTTATGTGATTGTATATGTGCAAAATGCTGCTGTCACTAAATCCTGCTATTTTGAAACATTAGGCTTCATATTAAGCTTTTCTGGAAAAAGAAACACAAACAGAACCAAAACTTTTTCAAAGAGCCACAGCTATAAGAGGAGTGTTGGAATTTACCCACAACACATTTTCAAAATGCCTTTCCCGTGCATTAATTTAGAAAACGCTTATGCAAATGCAGCCTGGATGCATAAAGCAGCTGTGTTCTCTGCCGTGGCTCTAGGGGCAGTAACTGGCTGTCGACCCTGTGGCCTGGAAAGCCAACAGCAGTCAGAATGTCTCAGCGGCTTCAGCCAAACCAGCACCAATCAGCAGAAACAGATGGCTGTTTGTTTAGCAGCAGCAGTGACAGGGGAAAGTAAGGGGAAGATTTTGTAGCAGGAGATTTATTTTTCAGTCTGCTTAAAAAAAGAGACATCCCTGACAAGACTTTGCCACTTCCCTGAATAGTTTCATTCATATCATTTTTTTTTCCTACTCTTCCTCCCAGTCTAACTGAAGATCTCCCATTTGCCCGATCGCATAAAGCTCAGACCGGAGCGACACATTTGATCAGCGCAGCATGTCGCTGACACTTTAATCCGAGAATCGTTTGTCGGCAGCGGTGACATTCGCTGGAGGAAAGCCCAAGACTGCTTTTCATTTGATGACCCCTGTAAGAGATCTGTTTATAATTTAGTCACAAGAGCCGAGTGGTTTGACATTCCACAGCCCACAGAGAGGGGGCTGAATCAGGGATTTATTTATTCCAGCAGTCTGAGTGGAAGCAGGAATCTCATGACGGTCTCATGATTTTCATCAAGCAGAGCTCACACACACACACACACACACACTTTCACATGCAGCTGGGCGCACTTGGAAAATATGAAAGAAGAGACAGTTTTACAGGATAATGGGAATGAAAGAAACCTTGATTGATCTGCCTTTCCTGTAAATTTGATTTTTTGGGGGGGAATTAATATCATTTTAAAACAAAGTAACTTCATTTAGAGAAAAAAAAAGTCACACATTTTGATCCAACTTGAGTTTTGACAGAAATGTTCTTTATTCCAAGTCAAGTCTATGACTAACATGAACTTTTTTATTTAATACATATGATTTTGGGAGCATCTTCCAGAAACCTCTTAACTATAAATCAAAGCCATTT